CTATAAGTTACTATAAGTAACTGGCTCGCGCTGCCAGTAATTACGCGGCGGGATATTCAGGCCACAGACCGTGATCATAAGATAGCGCAAATAGAAAATAGAAATTAGAAAATAGACATTGCATGTGAACGAAGCCTTACTCTTAGTGCTAGGGACTCTTTATAGTACCGCAGACGAAGAACTGACTACGAAACATTGGCTGGTGCAAGAATAAGAAGCAAAGCATAAAACTATTAGGTATGGAATTAAGAAAAGTAAACAGAAAAACAAGTCTTTAAAATAATACGATCAAAAATTATGTCTCAAATAAATTGTGGTACATTTCCTGATGTGACTCCGCAGAAAATTTGTCATTTTTCACCTATTAGCTGAGATTTCATTGGACAGCGAAGTAGGTCACAGAGAGGCACACATTTCCCGCCATATAAGACTTTCATACTTAACGTCAATAATGTGGAATAACCAAGGTGGTGAGTACTGTTTTATGCTGATCAGACCAAACATTTAGTCCTACTTGATACCCCTTAAATATATAAGGGTGATGGAAACACCCTTCTTGTTCAATTCTCACCACCGTTGTTAACGTTTTGGCGATCGCAAGTTGCGACAAGTTTCAACCTGAGTGTATCAGTCGTGATTAATATCATTATAATAACAATGAAATGTAATGTGATTATTAACGAGTGGCATTAGCAAATATTACATTCAATCTATCATTAGATAAAAACAGACATGAGCTTTTCTTGCGGAATCATGATATTCTGCTTTTTTACATGACCCCAGAGCAATTAAACCCCCAATAATTTACGTAAGGTGTTTGGTTCCACAATAAATGTTCAGAGTTTTTTTTCTTAAACCTGGGCTCGTGTCTGTAAAAAGAAAAAAACAACACTTGTTTTGTCAAGATGAACCTCATAAAAACGTATTTGTTTAGGTTTCAGTAACTATGATCAGGCTGGAGGGTTTGATTCTCCTGGAGGCTTCAGCTCCCCACAACAGTCCTCACAGCAGTCCAGGGTAGGTATGCATGAGGGGTCATGTCAATACTCCCCTGCACCAATACTACCCCACACCAATAATCCCAGTTAGTAAATTTTTGTGTATTACGCGCATCGATACGACCCCACACCGATAGATCCCTGCATCAATACATCCCCAGTAAAATTACCAATGTAGGCGCACCGTTACTCCCCCACACCATTGCTTCCCCGCATCGCTACTGCGGGGGAGTATCAGTGAGGGGGAGCATTGGTGCGGGGTAGTATCCGTGTGGGGACGTATAAGGATGTAACCATGCACGAGACATGATAACACAATGTGAAACTGGTTATTGAGAAATGCTTATTGAAATGCTTATTGAGAATGTCTAATGTTTCAATTGTTTCCAGTTTAACTTTTAATCATGTCAGTTATTATCAGCAAGTTGTGAAATTTGGGGAATAATCCTCCATATCATGTGCAGATTTATGCCACAAAAGGAAATATTTCACCAAATATTTAAAATTAAATAAAACTTATAATTAATTACACAGAGGGAACTATATATGGTTGATTTTGATGTTACTTTTTGTGTCTTTTTAAATATAATAATCATATTAATTTGGAATGACTTTATAATTTTAAATGAGTGATAGGAGAGAGTTGAGAAAAATACTTTTAATGCTGGTTATCTGGAAATGAATGGCTTATAAAGGAAGCGTGTTGGAGTGTATCATTTGGTGTTTACATATTTGATAGATTATAAATGCATACTATATACAGCAATGACATGCTTCTGAAATAGAAGCACTTAATCAGTAAAACCTCTACATGTTAGATGTGTATCCTGTATGTGTATGTGGTGAATCCTTTTTGCATTATTATTTTTTCTGTACACAAACTTGTATTTTTTCAGGCTCGTACTAGAACCCAAAACATTGTTCCAGTGACAGTAGCTATGGTCCACCAGTGTCAACACGCAGATGAAAAATTCTTCATTGATGGCATAGAAATAGCACAGGTAAAGTAACAAAATAAAGTAGGGAACTCTGTCTTTAGATTTGTTACAATACATATTAATTAGTACCACCAGTGTGTACGCTGGCGGTACTCATGGTTTTAGTCCCGACCCGTCTCATACAGCTCCGCTGGCTCCTGCGGCTCCGCCGGCTCCTGCAGCTCCGCCGGCTCCGCAGTCAGGCGCCGGAAACAAGTCACCGTTACCGCTTCTCCTCCTAGACCGCAAGGACCTGTGTCCCCATCTCTTGGATTTAGGTAACATATAATCTCAACTTGAACACCCTGTTTTTTTTGTCTCTGTCGGTGCATTGGTCTGGGCGTGACGCTTGTTGAAACACACCCTTGTCAAAATTTTTGAAAATTCAATGCTAAATATCTCCCAAACCAAAGGAATTATGGGAAAAATTACTACAGAAGTCTGACCAAAAGTCATATGTGGAGATTCTAAATATGCCCTTGGATTTGACTTTTGACCTTTTTTTCAAGGTCAAACAAGCCAAAATTTTCTAAAAATGGGAATTTTCTGTAAAAAAATATTTGTTTGTGCAAATTTTTGGAAACTGTGCAGCCCTAAGCTCTCCTATTTTAGTGAGGGGTTACCATTGGGGACTCCTTTCATCTTTGGGAGTTTGGGGTCAATTGGTGCATTTTCACGGGAGAAGCAGCCATTAAATACCGAAACTGAAAACTCGCTCTAATTATGGATCGGTAAATGCCAGAGACCTTTTGTTTATTGCATTTTGTAGACCTTGTCAAGTGCAATACTGGAGGTGGTGTCCATTTTTTGTTTTCGATATGGTTTAGGCGTTGCGCTATATCAAAAATTACAATATCGCAATATTCAGTGGGGAAAATGTGAAATACTCCAAAATTAGCAGAGATACGCCCATAGTTACTATTGAACTTGAAAAGGAAGTCATATACTGGTAATCTAACTGTGACCTTGAAATTGACCTTTGACCTACTTTTCATGATGAACTGCACTTTGCAACTTTTCTGATCTTAATATCTCCAAATCTGGCAAAGCTACGCCTATAGTTACTGTTGAACTAGAATAGGAAGTCATATACTGGTAATCTAACCAGGACCTTGAAATTGACCTTTGACCTACTTTTCAGTACTGCACTTTGCAACTTTTCTGATCTTAATATCTCCAAAACTGGCAAAGATACGTCCATAGTTACTATTGAACTTGAATAGGAAGTCATATACTGGCAATCTAAATATGACCCTGAAATTGACCTTTGACCTACTTTTCACCATGAACTGAACTTTGCAAAATTTCCAGCCCTTATATCTCCAAAACTGGCAGAGATACAACCATAGTTACTGTTAAACTTTAATAGGAAGTCATATGCTGGCAATCTTATTGTGACCTTGGAATTGACCTTTGACCTACTTTTTATGATGAACTGCACTTTGCATGTTTCCTGGCCTTCATATCTCCAAAATTGGCAAAGAAATGGCCATAGCTACTATTGAACTTATATAGGAAGTCATATACTGTGACCTTGAAATTGACCTTTGACCTACCTTTCGATGAACTTAACTTTGATTGTACCATTTTTAGTAATATATATATTTTTTGCATATTTTGAAAATTCTTGTTGATTGCATTTTTACAGCTTGTCAAGCACAA